CCAAAGTTAGAGGGTGCCATGGGCACAATTAAAAATTAGGAATAAACTGGTTTGAGGGTGGTAGTGGGCGGGAGAAATGTTTTAGGTATACATGTTGATGGCTGTTTATATTTTGTACTGCTATTTGGTTTGTGTCATAGCTAAGTAAAAAAGTATAAACCAGAAGTGAGAGAGAGGAAATGAAGGGCGTTAGGGAAATGAAACTCATTGCTTTGCTCAGAATGCCTCTGCCAACCACCTAGTTAAAGAAGAAAATAAACTGTTTGGGATGGGGTGTGGTCGGGGTTGTGGGGGGGGGGCACGGAGGAGATGCTGCTGGCAAGTTTGGGTGACTGTGGATGAGCTGAGGAGCAGAACGCCAGCAAGGGATCTGGGAGGATCCAGCAGAAGGGATAGGAAAGTGGGAGAAACGCCAACAAGGGGGCTGAGTAATGCTGTGGAGGGCAGAAACTTAATGCTAGGCATGACGTGGAGTCACATTCCCAAATGTCTTCCTGGTATTCGTCTGTGTGCCCCTCTTGTATGTTGGGTGGGGGTGGGCATAGCTCAACATAAGTGTCCAGATTCCATCCCTGTGGTATTGCTAGGTGAAACATCTCAGGGTGCAAGAATGGGTTAGATGTATGGATGATGAGGTTGAGCAGAAGCAGCTGAGAACCCACAGATGCATTATTACTGCCCTGGGAAATCTAGTTCTACATTAAGACAATAGAATGGTGATTAGTAAATTCATTATTTTAGTTATAATTTCATGAACTTCTAGAGCAGATTATCTTTCAGAAGCCAGGAAGTGACCTATGAGATAGAGATATATGTAATGTCTTTCTACTTAAAAAGCAATACGTATTTTAACTAGATTAGAAAGAGTGAAAATGATGTATTTGGGAATGAAAAAGGGTATAAGGGCATAATCCAATGCATGTTTGGACAGAAAACTCCTACAGCTACCATGGCTGGCCAGGAGAGCCTGGGGACTGTGGAACATTTTGTCTTAAAAAAAAGGTACATGGTTTTGTCATAAAAGATAAAGGTACTTAATGCTTAAGAAAGTGACATTCAAATTTAGTTAAAATTTCTGTGATTAATTCTAACTATGAAAGGCTTTTCAATTCCATTTAAACTTTCTCAGAGATAAAATGAACTGTGCAGGATTTATGTAGCTCTTCTCAAATTACTTAATTTCATGAACTGTGAAGGTTCTTAAAAAGTAGTGCTTGGAAAACTTGTGCCCTTCCACTGTTTCTTGGACTACAAGTCCCATGAACCAGGTCGGCATAATCAATGATACAGAATGCCTGGAGGGCTGCATGAAGCTCACTCCTCCTGTGACGTCATCTCGGAAAAAATCCTAGAATCATTTTTATGGTCTAAAATGTGTAAAGATCTCATAGAGTGGAATAGATTCATGCATCAGAGACCCCAGATGGCAGAGTTGTGCTGAAGCTGGGAAATATGGCTAATTTGAACTTGGCAAATCACATTCCTGCTTCTGATCATATGGCGGGGGGGGGTATAGACTCCCATCTCTGAGACAGAGCATGATTTCTGTGTTAAAAATAAATAGTGTGGTTTGCACAAATTGGAAACCATTTGCACAAATTGCCTAGAACTGTGCAGTTTTCAGTTTCCGATTTGCACAAAGAATGTTAGAAATGAGAAGTTTCAATTTTGGATTTGTCCACACTTTAGTGTTTTTTAAATAATGTGCGAATTGCAGCCTGTCTTATAGATGGAGGTCCACAAGCTGACCACACTCACACTACAGCGAGTTGGCTCCAGGGTGGCTTTGATGAACCAGACTCCAAGGGAAGACTGAACTCTGAAAATCCATTGGATTTTCACCCCGCACACACATGGGATTCCTCATCCATATTGACCTGATGAAGAATCAATATTCAAGATGATCATCCTTCCAAAGCTATTTCACTTAGTATAGTCATTCCTGATTGCTCACCTTCACAACAACTTCCTAATTTGCACAACTGTTTGCATGAGCAATATGCTGTTCCTAAACTGATGTGGACAAGGTGCTTGGACAAGTACGTCCCACCACCTGCTTATTGGACCCTTGCCCATCTTGGCTACTTAACAAAGCCAAGCACGGGATAGGGGCCTGGATCCTGGAGGTTGTCAATACCTCTCTGAGGGACAGCCAGGTACGTGCCCCTTTAAAGGAGGCAGTAGTCCGGCCAGTCCTAAAGAAGGCATCCCTGGATCCAGAGGTGGCTGCCAATTATGGACTGGTGGCCAACATCCCGTTCCTGGGCAAGGTGCTAGAGCGGGTGGTGGCGGGACAATTCCAAGCACTCATGGATGAAACTGATTATCTGGACCCATTTCAGTCTGGCTTCAGGCCCGGATATGGTACTGAATCTGCCTTGGTCGCCCTGTATGATGACCTGTGCAAGGAGAGAGACAGGGGGAGTGCGTCCCTGTTGGTCCTCCTGGACCTCTCAGTGGCTTTCGATACCATCGACCATGGTATCTTTCTGGATAGGCTATATAGGGATAGGGATTGGGAGTTGGAGGCACTGCTTTGCGATGGTTCCGTCCTATCTCAACGGTCAATTTCAGAAGGTGGTGCTGGGGGACTATGGCTCTGCACCATGGCAGCTATGCCATGGAGTGCCGCAGGGGTCCATTTTGTCCCCTTTGCTGTTCAACATCTACATGAAACCGCTGGGAGAGGTCATCAGGAGGTGTGGGCTGCGGAATCATCAGTATGCTGATGATACCCAGCTCTACCTCTCATTTTCCACCAATCCAGGTGAGGCAGTGGCTGTGCTGAACCGGTGCCTGGCTGAGGTAATGGGCTGGCTAAGGGCCGATAAACTGAAGCTCAATCCAGACAAGACGGATGTACTGTTGGTAGGCGGTTCGGGCTTCGGGGTAGGGAACCTGGACCTTGTCTTGAATGGGGTTGCACTCCCTCTTAGGCACAGGGTCCGCAGCTTGGGAGTGCTCCTCGACCCAGAGCTGTCATTAGAAGCTCAGGTGACAGCGGTGCAAGGAGCGCTTTCCTTCAGCTTTGGCTGATCCATCAGCTGTGTCCCTACCTGGAGAACGACTGTCTGGCGACAGTGACACATGCATTGGTAACTTCCCAATTAGACCTCTGTAATGAGCTCTATGTGGGGCTGCCCTTGAAGACGGTCCGGATACTTCAATTGGTGCAAAATAGAGCTGCCAGGTTGCCGATGGGGACTGGGTATTCTCATATAACCCCAGTCCTCCATCAGCTTCACTGGCTCCTCATTGAAGTCCGGGCCCAATTCAAGGTGCTGATTATCACCTATAAAGCCTTGAACGGCTTGGGACCTGGTTATCTAAAGGAGCGCTTGCGTCCATATATGCCCTCCCGCCCCTTGAGATTGGTGGCAGAGGCCCTTCTCCAGGAACCCTTTGTGAAAGATATTAGGAGGGTGAGTACCCGGAGGAGGGCTTTGTCTGTGGTGGGGCCCCACCTATGGAATGTGCTCCCCAGAGAGGTCCGCCTGGTGCCGTTGTTATTTGTTTTTCAGCGCCAGGCCAAGACCTTTTTATTTAAATGTTATTTTAATTGTTGAATTTATTTATTGATTTTATATTTATGCCGGGATGTCTCCAGATTTTTATGTATTTGTATAGTTATTTATTTGTATTGGAAGCTGCCCCGAGGCTTTTGCGAATGGGGCAGCATATAAGTGTTCCAAATAAATAAATAAACTACGTCTTTGTGAATTTTCCCCCTCTTAGAACAATGACACATACTTTTTTTAGGCAAGCCTGGAAGTCAACAAAATACTCCTGCCTGGATAGCAAACTGTGACTTTCATTGATCTTCCCTATTCTGGAAACAAGTGTTTTCCCCCTTTCCGGATACTTGAGGAACCTATAATTTCCCATTGTGCTAGCAATGAGACCTCTAGCAGATGGGAAGCATAGAATACTGTAAAATGTATTTTTAAAACAATTGGGGAATTAAAGTGTTCTTTTTGAGGCTTATTGCTATACATTAGTACACATTAAAATTCTTTCCTAAACTTGCTATGCACTGATGCACATAATTCTTATTTCGACTCTTATATAAGCCCATGGCGTATCCCTTATTCAACATACTTTTAAAGGCCTGCTCTGTGTTTGATATAGTTTAAAGTTGTGTTTAAACGTCTGCATGAGGTGCTATATCTTTTGTTGCTAGTTGTAAAATGGCATCCAACCCACTGTGACCCCATGGACAACCTTCCTCCAGGCCTTCCTGTCCTCCACCATCCTCCGGAGGCCACTTAAGCTCACACCAACTGCTTCAGTGACTTCATCCAGCCACCTCATTCTCTGCCATCCCCTTCTTCTTTTGCCATCTATTGTTCCCAGCATTTGGGTCTTCTCCAGGGAGTCCTTCCTTCCCATTAGGTGGTCAAAGTATTTGGGTTGCATATTCAGTATCTGGCCTTCTAAAGAGCAGTCAGGGTTGATCTCTGACTGGTTTGATCTCCTTGCAGTCCAAGGGACTCGCAGGAGTGCTATATCTTTAGGGGTCTAATAATGGCACTTCAAGTACATGGGTTGAAGTGCTATAAAAATCTGCAGACCTGGATTGGCTACATGACTGTGCCAAAGTGAATATCTGTCCACGTTGCGTGACTGCTCTGTGCTATTCTTTGCAAGTGTCTCTTGTGCTTTCATTCATATCTTAGCTGAGTGCAGGGCTGTAGACAATATAGGTAAGTATTAAGTGAAGTCATAAGAGGCACATCAGTTCATGGATGCATGAAATACACATGGTCCTATATTCTAAACTGTGAAAAATGTATCAGCAAAGGACATTTCCTTATGGCTATATTTGGGGACAGCAAATATGTCCACAAATGTGATATTTCCCTGCCATTAAATTCAATATTTTAATCACTTTCCAGCCTCTTCACATTTTTTTTAGTTAGAATAAGATTGTGTTTTTACATTTTAATGAAAGCTGCAGAAAGGACATGTCCTCACTTATCCCTTCTTTTTTGTCATTTCAGGTTGGGTTTCCCCATGATGATAATGACCTGTATCATTGGAATGTGCTATCTCCTCATTACACATGTTGTATTGGGTTGGACCTAAGAATGTAAATATTAATGATAAATACTGAAAACCAAAAGACACTTTGCATCCTTGGCAGCCTCTCTTGTATTTTTAAAATACAATATGAAATGCAAAGTGTGCTTTCTCTCTCTCTCTCTCCACACACACACACACACACACACACACACACACACACACACACACCACTCTGTTACAGCTTTCTGTTACAAATAGTGGAAGTCCCATGTACTATTTGTCTGCATGGGCATGATATTTCCATTGATATCAGTGAAGAAAGCCAATGTCTGCTCCCATTACTTTGTGTATGTGGATTGCCTATCCCTCCTGAAATAAACAAAGCTCACTGTAAATTCAGGTGACCGTAATGGGCAGCTGAACAGCTGGAACACATAGACCAAAGAATGACAGAGTACCCATTTTGTTGGATTATACCATTTCAATCTTCAGATGAGAGATTGTCTTGAGAACTTTACAGTATAAAAAGCTAGTACTTACATTTTTTTTAGGTTGGAGTCCTTCCCTCTGACGTTGGTTTTTTGTTTGTGCTTTAAAATTGTATAGCTGAGCAAAAGTTGCACCATGTGAGTTGCTGGATAATGTTTCATCCCTCAGCCAATGTCCTTATGGTATTTGACCATCTCAGAGAATATTGTGGTCATGACTATTGTGTTTTACAGTTTTCAGCTGGTCTTACTGGTATACTAGTTGGAGATGTTCTCAGGTTCAGTTTTCAGCTTAAAAGTGGTGATTTTGCTGAGTCTTCAATTTAATCATCTTAAAACAGCAACAGACAAACAAGCAAATACCTTCACAGTCTTCCTTGCTGCTGGACACTTTAAACTCTGCTCCCTGATTCCTTGTGATCCCAGTCAATCAGGGATCACACACACTGCACATGATCTACTATCACAGTACTAGATAGTCAATCAGACTTGGCTTCTTTTTTGGAAGGGGAAGCATAAATAACAGTCACATAGGCAATCCAAAATCACTCTAGTAGAATGAATGCTTTACAGCAATTTTGTAATGATCTCCCAAAAATTGCCAAAGACAGAAGCTTCTTTCAGTTCTGATGAAGATTTTTGTGAAAAAGCTGCCTATTTCTGGCTCAACTTCATTAATGTTCAGATAAATATGAATTTAAACATTAACATCACAAGGGACCATAATTTTCCTGAAATCATGTATTGATATAGTCCACATGTACTCACAGATGAAAAACCTACTTTCCGCAGCAAATATTCAGTAGTTTCTCATTAGAGCTTCCTTTACCTTTGTCAATATATTTAGCTACTTGTATGAAGGCTTCTATATTCAACCTGTGCCATTTTGTGATAGATCAGTAAATAGCCATGCTATACATAATGAAAGATACATTGTCATATCTACTTTAAAATAAACTTGGTCAAAGAAGGATTTTAAATGGATGCAATGATCTCTTTTAATTGGGCTCATTATTTCCTACAAATAAGTATATTCTATAGAAATATGAAAGTTTATTCTACAGAGGTTTGTATAAATAAATAGGGGAATATAACAGCTAATTAGACTCTTGGATAAATATTAGAGTTATTTCTACAAGCATATGTGGAAGTATACTGTAGGGATGTGCCAATGCTAGAATATCCAACTTAGTTGCACTTGATTGATTTCCTGCTCATTTCTGATCTCATAATTGGAAGTGGGCCAAGTCATGGGTTTTCACAGACTTCTATCTCTAACATAGGGTTTGATTTGTGCATTTTATAAAACATTGCTATGGAAGTTTCTGTGATTTAGACATATTGGACTAGTGCAATTTGTGCAAATCTCCTTAGCAATTTTTTAAAAATGCACAAATTGTGGCCTGTGCTAAAGGTCTGTGAGCTGGCTTTAACACATATCACAACAAGTTGTCTGCAGGGCAGAGTTGGCCAACCAGCATCTGGGGGTCAAAGCATGAAATCTGAGCATTTTTCATCCCTCCCATTGGATTCCTTATCCATTCCTATGTTGACGTTAGTATTTTGGTAGCTAAGGATGTAGATTGTTAATCTTGGGAGATGAAGAATGACAAAAGGAGAGAATACCTTTCCATTTTTTAATGCATTCTTATTGGTAAAGTGCTTGCAGATCATCAAGGAGTGATAGGTGCAGAGCAAAAGAGTTCATCTGTACTTAAAAAAATGAAGTGTGATCTTATGAATGATTCTTCAAGTTCAAGAAGGGTTACTATCTCTTTTCCTGACTTTCATGATTCAAAGAAGGAATTCTTGCTTTAGCAGTTCCACTGGTTGATGAAATAACTTTCTGGAATACTCCAGTGGTGACTTCTAGAACAGTACCATAAAATGTGTTTGATTTGTCTTGTATGTGTATTGTCTTCTGATAGGAGTATTCTAAAGTATGCAGCATTTCTTTTCATTGTAGTACCACAAGAGAGAAACTGGAAGTTTCAACTAAAGAGGATCCTACTGTTCTTCCATTTTGTGGTTATGAAACCATATAACATGTGAGGTATAACTACCTCGAAAATGGAATCACAGTATGTCTGTACTCTTATTTCTTTTACTAGCATGTCATGCCAGATATTCAGTGACACTAACACTGGCTGCTAGAAAAGCTCAAGTGATTTATTATGAGTTGGATCCAGGTTTAGTGATACTTAAAGTAAACCTAATGAAATCAATGGGATTTCATAATAACTGAGAAATGCCATTAATTTTAATAAGTCTGCTCTGGGTCTGACTAAGGTTGCTTCCAGATAATATTTTTACTGTGCCAACACACTTAGAATTTTAGAAGGGATCATTGTTTGAAATTTGTGGGAATTCCATCTTCTTCACTGCTTTTTCAGGGTTTCTTACCAGAAATAAAAAAGTCAAAGAAGGAAAGGTGAAATAGCTGCACTCAAACAGCTTTTGAGTCCTAGGATCAGGAGCCTTCTACTAGAAGTTCTCCATATCTAGATCTAATTATTAAGTCCTTCTTCTGGTTTCCAACCAGGTTTTGGCATTGTTCCTTAATTTCTTTTTCTTGGAATGGTTTTGCTTAGGAATGACCGCCTTATCCTGTTGGACAAAGGTGTTTTACTGACATTGGTAACCTCATTCTTAATATAAGGTCCTGTGTAATTTTCCATGTAATTATAGAATGATGATATACTTATACTTAGCTTCCAGAAAATCAGTATTTAAGTTGGTCACTGTGCAAAACTCATAATCAGCAAAGGAGTTGTCTCGTTGTACAGTGTTGCTTGTGGGGTTTTTTTCAACATTATGTGAAGCAATGCAATGACGGAGGACCAAACATTCTGCAGATCTTCATTAGGGTTGTTCCTCACTCTAACCTATGTATCTCTTCTGTCAGTACACTTTTCAAGAAATTGCAAAGTGTTTTGGCCCATTGATATCCCTTGCAGCAATCATAAAAATGTCACTATAGATGAAACAGTATCATAATACTATACATGCTACGTATCCAAATGTGTGTTGCCTTACCACCATACCAAGCTTACAAATACATATTTTTGTTGTTCAAAGGATAAGGAGAAGGAAACAAGTCAACTGGAAAATTAACTTTTCTGCCTAAATGCATGCAACTCTATAAACATATATATTTTTCTAAAACAACTGTGATGATAATTCAAAATATGAATAAACTCTATGGTGTGTTACTTTATTATATTCTAGAATGTTAAAACTCGATTTTTGTTATCCTGTTTCAACTAAACTCAAAGAAAATACACTTTTCATGTGATGCTGAGAATTTCCTTTTGGAATCCATGAAGACAAAAAACAGCAATCAAAGAGAAAATTGAATTCCATTTTTTATATTTAGCTGCATAATGAATACAAAAGTTTATAACAGTCGGAAAGACACTCAGAATAACATGCCTGCTTGATTGGTATAGAACAGATTCCAACTTTTAACAGATAATATCTCTCATGACTTGCTACTGGAATAAAATTTAGTGATTACAATAACTTCTTTACAAATCATGTGGATCCTTCTGAGTCATTATAAGCAAATTTGCTCTGGTCTACTTTTATCCTTGGATATAATATCTTTAAAACTGGTTTAATAATATCAAAGCTGTTGAAACAAACATTTGAAAACTAAGAAGTATAAAGTTTAAAATAGGCAGTAGGTTTTCAAATACACCTTTGTGTATAGTAGTTATCTAACAGATATTTGTGCATGGGTTGTAAATTTATGCATGCATATATAAAGCTGGTGAGGTTCAATGCATGCAAAACTGTTGTGTGGGGAAAGTCCCAGCACTGCACATATTCATTACATTTCTAGGCCTAGCAATAGCTTAAACTCTCTGGCCAGTTCACAACAATTAAAACCATAAAATACAGTGTAAGACACTGCAAAAGTTTAAAAGGTTAACACTGCAGTATAACATAAAAGTAAAAGCAAAGAAAAACCTAGCAGCAGTGCAAACTTAAAACGCAATACCTGCTTTAAAACAGAAATTGAAAGACAAAAATGCCTGGGAAAATAGAAAAGTCTTTACCTGGCATGAGATAAAGCACAATGCAGGTGTCTGGCAAGCCTCTGGAAAGTATATTTGATCACTGGGAGGAGGGGTCCCATCAGAAAATACCCTCTTTTTATTAGCCACCCATCTCAGGTCCTTGGTTTGGGCTTATGCAGAAGGACTGGTGAGGTCAGTCTTAAAGGTCCAGGTAGGAAGAGACAATTTCTCAGGTAAACTGGCCCCAAGCCATTCAGAGGTTTGAATGTTAATACTAGTGCATTGAATTCAGCCTGGGCATGGACTGGTAGCCAGTGCAGATGATGCAGTATGGGCACAAATGACCATGCTGGCCAATCCCCACTCCTCCAGATGACCTCCCCAGTCATTTCATGTGCACATTAAATGGCTAAACAGCTTGTAGAATAGAACAGAGGCTTGTGGGGCCTGATAGCACAAACTAATGATCTCTCAGCATCACCTTGAAGATCACCCATCCAAATTTCAGCAGAATCACAACCATGAAATACTGCCAGCTCCCAATACAAACAACCTATCCAAACGGTTTCTGTGGTAATATTATTAAGAATCAAGAGGGTCAAAGTCCCTTTGTCCCTCTTCTGGAAAAAGGTCATTCAACAGGGCAACAAAGGCAGTTTTCATGTGAAAACCAGGGCTGAAAATGGATTTA